TTTACCCATTTGTCTATTGATGGATACTTGGGCTGCCTACATATCTTGGCTATTGTAAATAATGCTGCATAAACATATGGGGGCATATATCTTTTTGAATTAGTAGTAGAAATATTGGATCATAGGGTAGTTCTATTTTTAATTATTTATTTATTTTTAAAAAATTTTATTTTTTTTAAGATTTTTATTTTTTATTTGAGAGAGAGACAGTGAGAGAGAGCATGAGCGAGGAGAAGGTCAGAGGGAGAAGCAGACTCCCCATGGAGCTGGGAGCCCGATGCGGGACTCGATCCCTGGACTCCGGGATCATGACCTGAGCCAAAGGCAGTCGTCCAACCAACTGAGCCCCCCAGGCGTCCCTTTTAAAAAAGATTTTATTTATTTCTTTGAGAGAGAGACAGTGAGAGAGAGCATGAGAGGAGAGAAGGTCAGAGGGAGAAGCAGACTCCCCTTGGAGCTGGGAGCCTGATGTGGGACTCGATCTCAGGACTCCAGGATCATGACCTGAGCCGAAGGCAGTTGCTTAACCAACTGAGCCACCCAGGTGCCCTAATTTTTTTTTTTTTAAACATCAGACAGATCTTGGGGCGCCTGGGTGGCTCAGTGGCTTAAGCCTCTGCCTTTGGCTCAGATCCCGATCCCAGGGTCCTGGGATCGAGGCCCGCATTGGGCTCTCTGCTCAGCAGGGAGACTGCTTCCCCTTCTCTCTCTGCCTACTTGTTATTTCTCTCTCTGTGTCAAATAAAGAAATAAAATATTTTTAAAGCAACATCAGGCAGATCTTTTTTTTTTATGATTTTACTTATTTATTTGACAGAGAGATAGAGCACAAGCAGGCAGAGAGGCAGGCAGAGGGAGAGGGAGAAGCCGGCTCCCCACTGAGCGGGGAGCCCAATGCGGGGCTTGATCCCAGGACCCTGGGATCATGACCCGAGCCGAAGGCAGTCACTTAATCGACTGAGACACCCAGGTGCTCCTCTATTTTTAATTTTTGAGGAACCTTCATGCTGTTCTCCACAGTGGCTGACCCCATTTGCATTCCCACCAGCAACACACGAGGGTTCCCCTTTCTCGCCAACACCTGTTGTTTCTTGTGTTTTTTATTTTAGGCGTACTGGCAGGTATGCAGTCCCATGTGCTATTGGCCCATACATGAATATATTTGAAGAAAAGCTTAGGATGTATATCAAGATCTAATAAATTTGAACATACATTTTTGTTGGTATTAAAGTGTAAAGAGTCAGTTAAGAGCTTGCTCATTCATTTGAATTAGATAAACCGAAAAACAGATTGTAATTTTATAATCAGTAAAATGGCATTGTTCAGGGAAACTGACTTAGAATGGACTAGAATTACTGATACGAAAGATACTGGAAGACTCCCTTTATCTCTCTCCTGAAACCAGAACTTTTTTCTTTATGACAATTTCTTTCTCTTTAAAGCACATTCTCTTCTTTTTTTTTTTTTTTAAAGATTTTATTTATTTATTTGACAAAGATTACAAGTAGGCAGAGAGGCAGGCAGAGAGAGGGGGGGAGGCAGGCTCCCCGCTGAGCAGAGAGCCCGATGCAGGACTCCATCCCAGGACCCTGAGATCATGACCTGAGCCGAAGGCAGAGGCTTTACCCTCTGAGCCACCCAGGCGCCCCAAAGGACGTTCTCTTCAAACTGATTGTCTATGAACCTAATTCAACAGAATGAAAAATGTGTCCTCCCATAGCTGTCAGGTTTGTACTTGATGGGCCCGTCACGGTGAAAGATATTCCACTGCAAATTCTGAGGAAGAAGACATTTATCCTTGAAAAGCCCAATCTGGTTTTGGATAATGGAGTAGATAACATTGTAGGAGAAACAGGCCTTCCAAGAACCACTACTGTGGGTCAGGCTGGAGGCAGCAGTTCAAGGAAAGGGGTTGTCATCACAGAGCCTCACAGAGGAACTCATAGAAAATACAGGAATCAGTAGTCAAGTTCTTGGAAGAAAAGAATTGGGTCACAAGAGAAAGGTACCACCTGTGGGAGCCATCTCTGATGGTCCCTGTGCCCTTAGTAGGGCCTCTGTGGAAAAGTCTCTGTGGCCCGTGCTTTTTCCTCCCACCGGGAAGTGGAATGTGCAAAGGTGGAAACCCAGGGCTGTGCTGGTGCTAGAAGATAGGCCCTGATGGCAGATTCCGTGTCCCAAAATAGACAGATAAACATGCCAAGCCTGGGTGGCTCAGTCGGTTAAGTGTCTGCCTTTGGTTCAGGTCATGATCTCGGGGTTCTGGTATCCAGTCCACATTGGGCTCCCTGCTCAGCGGGAAGCCTGCTTCTCCCTCTCCTGCTGCTGCTCCCCCTGCTTGTGCTCTCTTTTTAATAAATAAATAAAATCTTAAAAAAAAAAAAGGGGTGCCTGGGTGGCTCAGTGGGTTAAAGCCTCTGCCTTCGGCTCAGGTCATGATCTCAGGGTCCTGGGATGGAGCCCCGCATCGGGCTCTCTGCTCAGCAGGGAGCCTGCTTCCCTTCCTCTCTCTCTGCCTGCCTCTCTGCCTACTTGTGATCTCTCTCTGTCAAATAAATAAAATCTTAAAAAAAAAAAAAAAAGTGCCAAGCTGATTCCCTGCCCTGGTGATTTGGAACTTAAAGGGTGTCACACAGAGACTTGAATTTGGTGGAGACTTGAATTTGGTGCATGTGAGTGTGTCCATCGAAAACTCCTAAATTTCTGACAAGTTCATCAGCCCCTGAGCGGCCCAGACTCTGCACTTTCGGTTCCCAGCACCAAAGAAGGTCCCATGGAACAGGTTTAAACAATGGACACTAACAAGTAGGTGCTGGGGGGGCGGTGCCCTCAGCAGCGTGGATCTGGCCCGGGGTCAGAGGCCGAAGCGTGCCCACCTGCGGCCTGTTTCTGTCGGAGCCCGATGAGCTCCGGGTGGGGATCCTCCCGAGAGCTGCAGACTTGGGCCAAGACTTTAAATTCAGAGCAGCCGGAGAGGAGACCAGATGGAGGTTCAGGCCGTGCAAGATGGCGGTCCCCGTGCCTGATGTGCCGCTCTTGAAAATCTTCTCCTTCCTGGATGCATTCAGCTTGCTCCAGGCTTCCCGAGTGAACAGGGTAAATGCTCTCCACAAGCCGCTCTCTGTTGGGCCCCCTCCTCCCGAACCCCCTTCCACAAGTTGTCACACAGACCCCCTTCACCGCAGCCCCTCAGTGCTGGCATCTCGGGACCCCAGCCTTGGGCCCACGCAGCCTCCCTCCTTGCTTACGTCTACCCTGTTCCGGCCCCTTCCTTCAGCTCCCACAGACCCAGTGCCCGGATTTCAGCTGCCTCTCTCGACCAGGTGGAGCGCCAGCTCGCCGAAGAGCGGAGGGATGCGCTGGGTTTTGGGGGGTTAGCCTCCTTCGCTCTGAGGGCCTCACGTTTTTAACGAAAAGGACAGACGAATATCCAGGTGTCGCTGCGCGGGTCAAATGGTCCAGTTGAAGCCCCGGGAAACCCAGTGTTTCTCCCACAAGAATTCCAAGCACCTGTCTTCGCTGCGATGGGCCTCTGTGGTTACCGTGTCCTGGTCCCCCCAGACTGGGTGGGCTTTGAGAGCCGGGTTGGTGGCTGGTTTACCACTGAGATGAGGGCCTGGCTTCCAGAACAGAGGAGAGCAGAGGAAGAGCCAGCCTTTGGGTACTGACCACCTGCTTACCTCTTCCTTTCTCCCCCTCAGTGCTGGAACAGGCTTGCAGAGAATGACCAGCTATGGAGGTGAGCAAGGGAAGGGTAAGGCGGGAAGGCAGGGGTGTCTCCTGGGAGGGAGAGCACATCCGAGTGTGTACCAAGGCAGCCTGCGTGGGGCTGCGCTGGGAGAGGCACAAGTGAGGCTTAGAGTGAGGAAAGGGTTCATGAGACCCACGCTACTGAGGAGGTAGCTAAAGGGGGCTGCCTCGAGGGCTGATGACTCTGTTTCCAGAAACCTGTGTCTGAGGAAATGGAGCTTCTGCAGCTTCTCCCCGTGCCCGGGCTCACAGACCTGGAAGCAGTTCTTCCTCAGACAAACAAAGCTGGAGCACCGTATGGCGAGGGTGAAGCCAGAGGACTTTATCTTCAGAGAAGCAAGTGGGAACCTCGGTACGGGGATAGGGTCTCCTAAAGGAACATGACAATCTGGTCTTAAGAAACACACTATCCTTTTTTCCCCCTGTGTCTTCATTCAGTGAAGACAAAGAAAATGAAGGCTTAGTGGGACTGGGTTGCTGTGGTCATGGTCAAGGTCTCCCTCCATCTTCTCTTGGCCCCCACCATCTATGGTGCGTGGAGAGACCAGAGTGATCTTTACTTGAGCTAAAATCAGGCCCTGTGACTTCCTTTCTCCAAAGGCCTTCCGTTCCTCATAGAATAAAGATTTTAAACAAAAAGGAAACTGAATAACAGGCCTTCTACCATTAACTTTATTCCTAGTACCTCTTTTAAAACTGAGAACAGTGGGGCGCCTGGGTGGCTCAGTTGGTTAAGCATCTGCCTTCAGCTCAGGTCATGATCTCAGGGTCCTAGGATCGAGCCCCACATCGGGCTCCCTGCTCAGTGGGGAGCCTGCTTCTCCTTCTCCCTTTGCCTGCTGCTCCCCCTGCTTGTGCTCTCTCTCTCTCTCTCTCTCTGACAAAGAAATAAAATATTAAAAAAATAAAACTCAGAACAGTTCTCCGATGGAGACCTCTTTATCCTCATTTTACGTGTATGGAAACTGAAACGGAGGAGGAAAAATAAGTCAGCCAGTGCCTCAGGCCAATCTGCAGCGGGAACCTACGTATGGATGACTCTAGAACTAGCTCCTCCTCTTCTCCATAATTGTTTCCCAAACTCTCCTAAGAGGGCGCAGGAAAACTTATTATCTTCCCAGAGTCCTTTTTATTCAATTGGCTCATCCCTCAACTATCTGGTGAGCCAGTATTGTCTGTGTTTCCTTCTAGGAATCTTAGGACCTATGGCTTATCTGTCAGGATATGGCCACGCAGTGGGTGGAGAGGAGAAGTCAGTCATTTGTACAGTGTCATCAAAGCACATGCTTTACGCCTGGGACCTGCAGGAGGTGAGTCTGTCCAGCAAGGAGCACAAGGAACGCCCTGTCACGTCCACCCTGTTCCACACAGGTGGCAAGTGCTGGGGGATGGGAATGGTACTTGGAATTGGTGAGAGACAGAGTTTCAAATTGGGTCTTCTAACTGGTAATCTGGGGCCTTTCCATTTAGATGGTAGACACACTGAAAACTCACTTTTTAATGTGTAGTTCTTTTTTTTTTTTTTTAAGATTTTATTTATTTGACAGAGATCACAAGTAGGTAGAGAGGCAGGCAGAGAGAGAGAGAGAGGAGGAAGCAGGCTCCCTGCCAAGCAGAGAGCCTGATGTGGGGCTCGATCCCAGGACCCTGAGATCATGACCTGAGCCAAAGGCAGAGGCTTAACCCACTGAGCCACCCAGGCGCCCATTTTTTTTTTTTTAAAGATTTTATTTGTCAGCATGCGTGAGCAGGGGGAGAGGCAGGCAGGGAGAGAGCAGGCTCCCCATTGAGCAGGGAGCCCGATGCAGGACCTGATCCCAGGACCCTGGGGTCATGACCTGAGCTGAAGGCAGACGCCTAACCGACTGAGCCACCCAGGCGCCCCTTATGTGTGTTTCTCCATATAGATTTATACAGGGACTTACTTTCTAGTGGTAACGTGGAACGGCTGTGAGATAAACTTGGGCTGTTGTGCCTTTCCATGACCTATTCTACTTCTCTCTCTCAACTGTTGGCATTTGTTATGTTGGCTTTTTCAGAAAGTGGTCTCCAACTCCAGTCACTTCCAGGGTAGACAAAGGTCTTCTACATCAGGACCAGTAAATGTAGTGCAAGAATCACTAGGTGGGGAATCAGAAGACCCCAAAATGGTTCACAAGTTATTGTATTTTTCTTGGCCTTCCCTGTTTGTATTTCTTTCCTCTCTGTGAAAAGTATTTAATGACCGTTTTTCACACAGGGTCTTCTGAACTATGACAAGTAAACCCTTTATGAATATATGAGGTGGCAGGAGAATGATGAAATAAAAGTCTAGAAGGGACTCCTAAAGTTATACAATTTTTAAAAAGATTTTATTTGATAGAAGAGAACATAAGCAGGGGGAGCAGCAGAGGGAGAGGAAGAAGCAGGCTCCTCGCTGAGCAGGGAGCCTGATGCAGGACTCCATCCTAGGACCCCGGGATCATGACCTGAACCAAAGGCAGACACTTAACTGACTGAGCCACCTGGGCGCCCCTGAAGTTACACAATGTTATATGTCAATTACATTTCACTAAAGCTGAGAAAATCAGAAAGGCACTCTCTTGGACAATTTGCTCTAGGGGAAACCAGTCACCATGTCCCTGAGGACATCCAAGCAGCCAAGGTGATGGTCCACTTGGCAAAGATCTCTGGCCTTCTGCCAACAGCCAGCACCATCTTTGCAGTCCTGTGAGTGAATCACATTGGAAGCTAACTTTTTGGCCTTCAGATTGTGTCCACAGTCAACCAAGTGAGGAACCCGAAACCAGAGCCACTCAGTGACTCAACGCCCGAGTTTTGGACCGACGGAAGGTGTGTGAGAAAGTGTTTCTTCCTTTGAGCTGCTATGGTGTTTGTTAGGCAGCAACAGATAACAGATTTTAGTACTCCTTTTCTTGATTATAATTTAAGGTGTGGAAGAAGCTTTAGAACCAGGCAGTGAAAAGAAGCTGGAGAAACCCTGAGGAGACTTTGGGACTTTGAGGAAACCTAGCAGAAACCTAGTGGCCTGCCATGAGGCCGCCAGTGAAGACAAAGGGAAATGTAAACAAGGGTATTGGACACCAGAGGAAACAGGGTTCTTGCTACAGCTGTAGAAAATTTAGCAACATTGTCACCCTGGCTAATATGAAAAGGAGCGAATAGATCCAAGGAATTGAATGCTTTTCAAGGAGAATTCTAGGCAGAATGCTGAGGGCTGGCCACTGCTTGCTGCTTGTAGTAAAACAAGAGAAAAGGGAGAGGAGAAAATGACGGTCAGATAAAAGAGAGCCAAAGCTTGCTGGTTCCGAAAATTTGCAGTCTTTCAAGATGGCAAATGGTGCTAAGATTTAAGGCCAAGACTGCAAGCAAGATCCGTGCAGGGCGGTGTTAATAAACCATACCATAAAGGTGAAGCCAAAGCGGTGACCACAACATTCTTTTCGACCTCAGAAAGAGCTAAGAGGGTGCTTCAGAACCAAGGTCAGGCCACGGACCTCACAGGTTGAAGCCTCGTCCTCAGCAGACCCAGCCGCCACCCAGGGTGTCGGGATTCATCTCAAAAGCTTGTGGGTGTGGCTCTTGTCTAATGACGTCAACCCCTGTAGGTTCCTTTGGAGACCCACAAAGTTTTCTCAGGGAATCCTATTGGCAAGGGTGCTGCCAGCTTGGATATACAAGGGCTGAAATATCACAACAGGAAAAGAGGCATTTGAATCCCGAGCTCTTACAGGGAAGAAGCACCCGTGACCCTACTCAGCTACTGATTTGGGCCACCAGGTATGGACGGGGCAGCATAACGCAGAAGGCAGAACCAAGAGCCTAGAGAGCAGAGCCAAGAGTCCTGAAGAATCTTTCCTGGGCCTTGAGTCCTGGTCAGTGTACTACCAGCACATTGTCATTGGATCTCGAAGTTTCTGTGTAGCAGGGATTCCCACCCCTCTACTGCCATTTCCCCCCCACCCCGGATGAGACCGTCTATAATGTTGTCCTTACCTATGGTATAATGTCCTATCCTTTTATGTTGGGGATGGGGGTCCGACAACTTGGATATTTCTGAGGTTTTCACATCAACATGAACTGAATTTAAAGAACTTCATCTCCTTAAACAACGAGATCCAGATTTTATGATGATGCTGTAACGGTGAGCTATTTGGGGGCATGGGCGATGGAGAGTGTACTTTGCGTGTGGGAGAGAGGTGAGTTATTATACACTGCAGGGTGGAGTGTGTCCGCTAATCTGGGACGGCCTCCGTATTCCTTGTCCCATATTCACGATCCTAGGTAGTCCACTCCCACCCTGAATCGGGTTGACCTTGGTAACCAATTGGAATTGCAGAAATGATGGTGCGTAACTTCCAAAGCTATGTCCTAAAAGACACTTCTTCTCTCTTGAGTCACTGGCTCCTAGAGAGCCAGCCGCAGTGTTATGAGGACCCTTAAAATGCCCTGCAGGGTAAGTCTGTGTGGGGAAGTACTGAGGGCTGCAGGTAGCCAGCACCAACTTGCTGGCCGAATGAGTCGACCATCTTGAGCCTTATCCTTACGAAGATGACTTCAACCCCGTAAGAGACGCCTAGCCACAAACCACCCAGCCAAGCTGTACCTAAATTTCTTTAATTTAATTTAATTTAATTGAGAGAGAAAGAGCATGAGAGAGGGTCAGAGGGAGAAGCAGACTCCCTGCCAAGCAGGGAGCCTGATTTGGGACTCTATCCCGGGACTCCAGGATCACGACCTGAGCCAGAGATAGTTACTTAACCAACTGAACCACCCAGGCAGCCCATGTACCTGAATTTCTAACAGAAACTGAGAGAACAAAAACTTCTGTTTTAACCACCCAGATTTTTTGGAGAGGGTTTATTATTATTTTGCTTATTTCAAAAGCTTCCAGTGTAGTTAATATACAGCATTAGATTAGCTTCAGGTCTACAATGTAGCAATTCAGCAATTCTGTACATCACCTGGTGCTTGTCATGACCAGGGCAGTCCTCAATCCCCATCACCTGTTTCCCTCATCTCCCACTCCGCCCCTCTGGTAACTGTTCTCTAGAGTTATGAGTTTGTTTGGGGGCTTATCTCTTTTCTGTTTTGTTAAATTCCACATTTGAGTGAAATCATATGCTATTTGTCTTTCTCTGACTTAATTCACTTAGGATTATACCCTCTAGACCCATCCATGTTGATGCAAATGGCAAGACTTCATTCTTTTTCATGGCCAAGTAATATTTCAGTGTGTGTTTGTGTGTGTGTGTGTGTCTGTCTGTCTGTCTTTATCCATTCATCTATTGATGGACACTTGGGTTGCTTCCATATCTTGGCTATTGTAAATAATGTTGCAATGAACATAAGAATGCATAGAGCTTTTTTTTTTTTTTAATATTTTATTTATTTGACAGCCAGAGATCACAAGTAGGCAGAGAGACAAGCAGAGAGAGAGAGGAGGAAGCAGGCTCCCCACTGAGCAGAGAGCCCGATGCAGGACTCGATCCCAGGATCCTGAGATCATGACCTGAGCCAAAGGCAGAGGCTTCACCCACTGAGCCACCCAGGTGCCCAAGAATGCATAGAGCTTTTCAAATTACATTTTCCTTTTTTTCAGCTAAATACCCAGTAAAGGACTTGCTGGACCATGTGGTAGTTCTATTTTTAATTTTTTGATTTTGTTTTCCACAGCGGCTGCCCCAGTTTGCATTCCCACCAACAGGGCACAAGGGTTCCTTTCTCTCTGCACCCTTGTGGGCACTTGTTGGTCATTGCGTTATTGACTTTAGCCATTCTGACTGGTGTGAGATGATATCTCATTGTGGTTTTGATCTTAAGCCACCCAATTTTGGGATGACTTCTTGCACAGTGTTACAGTGTTACAGACCAAAATGGTGATTACATTTGGGGAGTGTGGAGAAGTTAATAGAGCAAGTACCGGTGGGCTTAGAGGGAGTTATATGATCAATTTGTAATAACTAATTTTTACATATATTTTTGTGTTCTTTTTGATATAATTCACAATTTTTTTAAAGATTTTATTTATTTATTTGACAGAGATCACAAGTAGGCAGAGAGGCAGGCAGAGAGAGAGGAAAGGAAGCAGGCTCCCTGCTGAGCAGAGAGCCCCATGCGGGGCTCGGTCCCAGGACCCTGGGATCATGACCTGAGCCGAAGGTAGAGGCTTTAACCCACTGAGCCAGCCAGACGCCCCAACAATTTTTTAAAGGCTAAAGAGAAGGGAAACTTTCTTTTGTCTTATCTGCAATGTACAAGATTGATGATGGAATAATAATTATGAGAGTTGATATTCTTTGAATTCCTACCGTGGACTAGGCAGAATTCTTTTTTTTTTAAAGATTATTTATTTGGGGGGGGGGCGCCTGGGTGGCTCAGTGGGTTAAAGCCTCTGCCTTCAGCTCAGGTCATGATCTCGGGGTCCTGGGATCGAGTCCCGCATTGGGCTCTCTGCTCAGCGGGGAACCTGCTTCCTCCTCTCTCTCTCTACCTGTCTCTCTGCCTACTTGAGATCACTCTCTGTCAAATAAATAAAATCTTTTAAAAAAATATTTGGAGTAGGGGGAGAGGGAGACAGAAACCCAAGCAAATTCTGCATGAAGCCTGACATGGGATTCAATCTCACAACCCTGAGATCATGACTTGAACTGAAACCAAGAGTCAGATGTTTAACCAACAGAGCTACCCTGGCATCCCTAGGCAGAAAGAGTTCAAAAAGACTATTTCATGTGCTGTGAAATGTAATATGAGAGCCCTGTAAGAAGCCACAACTGGTAAGTAACTTGCTGAATGTAACACCTTTAGTAAGAGGCAGAACTGACTTGAGCTCAGAAGCCTGATCATTCTTTATGCTGATTGATCGCACAGTGAGATCTTGCCTTGAATGTACTGTGATGTTCCTTTTCTGTGCTCACTACTCCTCAAATAATTAAGATGTTTAGAATTTTCTTATTCTTTTGCCAGAAGCAAAAAATGGATCTGGAGGAAACTTCCAAATAAACACTGGCAGAAAGAAAGCCCAGTAGGTGTGAAGAGTTCCTTGCACACCTACAGTGTCCTCTCATTCTCTAGGGCACTATGATCTGGTCCAGCCCCGCCCAGCAGTCGAGCATCATGCGTCTGGCAACCCTCCCTCAGATGCATCTTGCGTTCACTGCAGATTTGGAGGGAACAGTCAAAGTGTGGAATTGTCAGGATGCGGAAGCCCTGGCTACTCTCACCATGCCACAGGCCTGTTTTTCCTTGGAAATCTGTCTCACAAAAGATGGCCCCTTCCTGATGGTAAGTGAGCCCTGCACCTAGAGAGGGCCCACAGAACAAAATGCCTGCTGCTTGACAGGTGTTGTACCCCCATGACTGTCTGTCTTCTTGGAGTCCTCCCTACCACAAACCCTGAGAGCCCAAACATACCCACATATATTGGCCATACAAACTCCGCTACCATCTTGGCCTTTGATCTACCACAAGTATGTTTTCCCTAGTCATTCTTCCAGAAAAGAGAAAAAAAAAAGCCTCCCTGAATGATTCCTATCTATGTCTCTTCTTTCAAGTGTGTATTGTACAGTACTTGACCTTGGACAGGTATTATGGAGAGAGAGCCATGGGTTTGGGAAGATGTGAGAAAAGAACAGTGTTGATGTGCTGTAACTACTCTTGAGAAGAGTGGGGCTTAGGAAATTGTATTTTTGGGGATCATTCTCACAATGCTGAGGTAGCTTTTCCTTTCCATTATGGGATCAAAGAAACCGTAGTGTGTTTTGCAACTGACAGTGCTGCCTTCTGTGGGCTCTAGGATTTCCTGTCTCCTTCCGTTGACGTGGTGGTGGTGCTTTGGTTTTAGGTAGGCAACTCTGAAGGTGACATGTACACACTGACCGTGCCGGAGCTAAGGCATGTCTCTAAAGTCAATGCATTCAAATACAGTGTTGACCTCCTACACTGCTCTCCCGACAAGAAATGGATCTTTGCATCTGGGACACATCAGAATATCTTGCCAGTGGTAAGTGGTGCTCTGTGCTTTAACTTTGGGAGGAGAGGGTCAAGCATTAGCAAAGTGGGGTTTAGGATGTGTTGGAGAACCTGAAGAACTCAGGGAGGACTACACATGGTGCTCCTACCTCTCAAAGGCCGTATCACACGTAGAATCCATTTTTGGAGCCAAGAAACAATGTTCTTTGAAGTGACAGGGTCTGGTTGCAAAAAAATAATAAGTTAATAAAAGTTTACTCATGAAGCCTGAATCAGCCAAAGAGCTAGAGGAAGGTGAGAGAGATCTCAAGAAAGTAGGATCTTTGGTAACCTTTTAGCTTTCCTTACTTTACTTTTATCCACCTTGGCTGGAAGGGACAAAGAAGTACAGAGGTACATGAGAACATATCGGCCTACAGATATCCCTCTGAGAAAGTCTGTGGCTGTTGAGTCCACCATTTTTACCATGTGGCACGTGCAGACCACGCACCAGAGAGCGAGGAGCTGAGAGGAGGCAGCAAAAGCTGAACAGCCCATGACAAGTTTGCCAAGAAGGGAAAAATCTGTCCAACCAATGACCGCTTGATCTGGGCTCCAGTGTGGCCAGATGATTTTGTAGCTCCAAGTGCACCAGAAGAACAGCTTTGATGGCTTTGCTCTCTGGATGTCAGAGACAAGCAGGGGCTACTCAGTGCTTCCTAAGATTCCGAATAAAGCTTTGGCCACAAAACAAGGATTTTTTTTTTTTTTTTTAAGTAGGCTTCATGTCCAGTGTGGGGCCTGAACTCCTGACCCTGAGATCAGGAGTCACATGCTCTACTGACAGAGCCAGCCAGGTGCCCCGACAAAACAAGGGCTTTCAAGGAGGTCTTTCTGGAGTCGCTCCTGTCCTGACGTGCTGTCACTTCTCCCTTCACCTGACCGCATGTGCAATACTCTCTCCCCAGGTGTTCCTCACAGAGAGCTTGCTGAAACCGGCAGAAGGCAAAAGCCCTCTGTCCCTCTCTATCCCGTATTCATCGTGCTGCAGGGCCTGCTGGGCCCCAAGGAGGACAAGCAGGATAACAGTGATGTATCGAAGAGGCTCTTTCAGAAAGACCGGATTTACCACCTTCGAGCTAATGGCTGAGAGGACGGGGGACCAAACAGACATCCAAGGTAGGCTGTGCCACATGGGAGAAATGGTTTCTAGACCCTTCCACCGTTCCACCCGTGTATTCTTTGGAAGCCATAATTCTGTGGAAAGGGGGCAGGGGATTTCTTTAACCCGAGTCTGCAGGCCTCTCCTGCCCATGCTCGTACTTCTATGTTCCACAGGCCCCCCACCCCCTTGGGCAGGTCTGTTCAGATTCCCATCCTGCTGTAGGGCCTGGATCCCACAGCCTCCTCTGTGCCTGACCTGTTACTGCCCACCGCCCCCTGTTGTGGGGTCCAGGCACCTGTTACCGTGGTCCGTGACCTGTATCTGTCACTAGCCTGCCCTTCGTCTTCCTCAGCAGACTGAGGTCCCCTGGAAGAATGGAGTGTGTGTTTGTATTCTGCGTAAAGCTCTTGTGCGGACTCAAGGATCCCCAGTTCACCCGCATGGATGTGTGTGTGTTTTGCATGAACACAGCCCACCAGGTTGCAACTTTCCTGTTGCCGCCTCACATGGAGAGTCCTATGTGGATGGGAGTCGGAGACGGAAATGTGATCGTCTTTGAGAGCGGGCCGTCCTTATTCCTCTTCACCATCAGTGGCCTCCTTCTGCAACGATTTGAGGACCACCAGAGGACCATCGGCAACTTATGGGTGGTAGGTACGAGCCCCCACCCACCGCCCGTCGCTCGGACTCGGGGCCGCTCATCCCAGGTGTCCTTTGTAGGATTCTGTGCACGTCCTCAGCACGTCCATGGATGACTCTCTGCATTTGTACATGTGGGAAGAGGAAGGCCGTTACCCATACCTCAAGAGCTGCTGCCACCTGGAGCACGTGGGCAGTGACTCAGCGCCGAGCTGGTAAGCCCTGCTTCTGCGACTTCAGCCTTCCTCAAAGATTCCAACTCTTCCATATGAAAAACTGAAGGGCTAATAAGTGAGGCTTTAAAAAAAGTTATACATATATTGTGTGTGTGTGTGTGTGTGTGTGTGTGTGTGTGTGTGTGTGTGTTTGTGTGTATGTATATGTATATATGTATAAATAAACTTAGATCCAAAAAGAATTGCTAGCTCTTGGAATATGTTCACAGCCCATGCAGTACATTTCAAAAGGCTTTCCAAAAGGGTTCCCATTAGTTTGCCCACAGCAGAATATGGAACATCTACATCTTCAATATCCTATCTTTATTTGCAAGGTTTATACCTTTTTTTGAGTTCATCATTTGGGTTGCTGCTTCTTGTTTTGTTTTGTTTTTAAGATTTTATTTGGGAGAGAGAATGAGCAGGAGCAGAGGCAGAGGGAGAAGTGGGCTCCCAACTGAGCAGGGAGCCTGACGTGGGGTTTGATCCTAGGATCCTGAGATCATGACGTTGAGCCGAAGGCAGATACTTGGCCGACTGAGCTACCCAGACACCTCTCAGTAATTTTAAATACTTCCCCTTCATATCACACGTTCCATATTGTGTAGCATTATGTCTTTTATCCATCTAATTTCTTTTAACAATGCAAAGAAATTTTATGTCTTTCCCCCAAATAGAATGCAGTTGTCCAACAAAGTTTGAATTTTGACAAAAACAAAGTCTTTTAATCAGAAATACAAACTGCAGAATATTTCCATCATCCCCCAAGTTTTCTTAGGCGCCGTTGCAGACTGTCCCTCCTTCCATCCCCAGCACCAGGCAACCAGTGATCTGCTTTCTGTCCCTATTAATTAGTTTAAATTTTCTAAGCTTTTATGTAAATGGAATTATGTAGTATGTATCCCTTTGTGTCTTGCTTCTCTCAGTGAGCGTGGTTTTCAAGATTCACCCTCCTGTGGTGTATCAGGAATTCACTCCCTTTAGTTGCTGAGCGGTGAGGGCCCTATTGTAGAGATGGACCACAGTTCATCACCTTGCCAGCTGAGGGTCATTTATGTTGTTTCTAGCTTGGGATGAACATGTTTCCATATTTACCTAAGAGGGGAACTGTTGGGTCATATGGTATGTTTGACCTTAAAAGAAACTGCAAAACGCTTTCCTAGGGGCTGTCCATCTTTTCATTTCTACTTCGTTTTTTTCTGGTTTTGTTTTGACTACTTTACATTCTGATAGGTGTGTAGTGTGCTCTCATTATAGTTGTACTGTGTATTTCCCTAATGTCAGGCAGCTTTTCATTTGCTTATTTGCCATATCTTCTTTGGTGAAGCATTGGTTCAAATCTTTTGTATGTTTTTTAGTTGGGTTGTTTATTAATATCAAGTTTTGATAGCTCTTTATATATTTGGAATATAAATTTTTTATCAGAAAAGGATTTGCAAATATTTTCTCCCACTTTGTGGCTTGTCTTTCTACTCTAACAGTGTCTTTCAAAGAGCGGGTGTTCTTAATTTTGAATCTCCAATTTTTCTTCTAAAATGATTGGGCTCTGGATGTGTATCTAGGAAATCTTTGCCTAATCTGAGGTCACTAAGGTTTTCCCCTTTGTTTTTGTCAAAATTGTATAGTTTGAGATTTTACGTTTAAGTCTATTATCCATTTTAAATTAAATTTTATATAGGGTAAGATCTAGATCAAGGTTTCTTTCTCTTTTTACATGCAGGTATTTAATTATTCAGCACCATTTGTGGGGGGAAAAAATTCTTTCTCCATTGAATTGCCTTTACATCTTTGCCAAAAATTGACCATATATGTTATATAACATATATATGTTTTAATTTTATATGTATATATGTTAATGTTATATGTATATATGTTAATGTTATATAACATAGATATGTTAATTTCAAGATTCTTTTGTCCCAAGGACCTATGTGTCTATCCTTTCTCTAATAACACACTACTTTGAAAGTGTAACTTCATAGAAATTTTAAAATCTGATGATGTGAGTCCTCCACTTTATTCTTTTGCAAAATTACTTTGGCTATTCTGTTTCCCTTGTTTTCAACATACTTTTTGTTTTGTGTGTGTGTGTGTGTGTGTGTGTGTTTTCCCCTACATATATTTTAGAATAATTTTGTAAATGTCTACAAAAATTCTGCTGGTGGGGGGCCCCTGGCTGGCTCAGTCTTTGGAGCATGTGTCTCTTGATCTTGGGTAGTGAGGTTGAGTCCCACACTGGTTATAGAGATTACTTAAGGGAATTTAAAAAATAGAATTAGGGGCTCCTGGCTGGCTCAGTTGGAAGAGCATGCAACTCTTAATATCAGGGTCATGAGTTTGAGCCCCACATTGGGTGTAGAGATTAAATATATCAAAAAATTAGAATTCTACTCAGACACACAAAAATTCTGCTGGAGTTCATACTGGAATTCTATTGGATCTATAAATTTTAGGCGGGGGGAATGGTATCTTTACAATTGAGTCTTCCTATCCATGAACCTTATGTCTCTTCAATTTATTTAGGTCTTCCTTATTTTATCAAGTGTTTTGTAGTTTTCAGGATACAGCTTTTGCAAATATTTTGTAAGACTATATCTAAGTATTTAGTGGTTTGAGTGCTACTGTAACAGTAATATCTTAGTTTTCAATTTTTCACTAATACTATGTAGAAATGATTGGGTTTTGAAATACTAATTTTATATCCTACAACCTTGTTAAACTATTATTCAAATAGCTCTTATTAGTCTGTAGATATTTTGTGACTTTCCATGTATACAATCATGTCATCAGACAGATTTTTTCCCCTTGTTTTCCAATCCGTATGTCTTTTTGTCCTTGTTCTTGACTTACTGCATTGTATAGAACTTTCAATAACAAGGGGTGCCTGGTTGGCTTAGTTGATAGAGCATGTAGTTCTTAATTCTGGGATCATGAGTTCAAGCCCCATGTTGAGTGTAGAGTTTACTTTAAAAAACAAAAAACAAAAAAACCTTCCAGTAACAACATTGGAGTGGAGAGCAGATTCCTTGACTTTGATAGAAAGTGTTGCATCTTTCACAATTATGAAATTCACTGTATGTTCTTGTAGTTACCGTTTATTAGGTTGAGGAAGTCCCATTCTAGTTCTTGTGTGCTTAGGGTTTTTATCATCAATAGATGTTTAATTTTGCCAATGGTTTTCCTGCACCAATTCCTGAGCATATGATTTTTCCTTTTTAGATTGTTAACAAGACAAATTACAGTGATTTATTTTTCTTTTTAAGATTTTGATTAGAGGGACGCCTGGGTGGCTCAGTTGGTTAAGCAGCTGCCTTCGGCTCAGGTCATGATCCCAGCGTCCTGGGATCGAGTCCCACATCGGGCTCCTTGCTCATCAGGGAGCCTGCTTCTCCCTCTGCCTCTGCCTGCCATTCTGTCTGCCTGTGCTTGCTCTCTCTCCCTCTCTCTCTAACAAATAAAAAAAAAAACTTAAAAAAAAAAAAAAAAAAAAAAAGATTTTGATTAGAGAGCCCATGCATGGGGCGGGGGAACGAACTTCCTGCGGAGCAGGGAGCCTGGTGCACGATCCCAGGACCCCGGGGATCGTGACCTGAGCCGAAGGCAGATACTTAACTGACTGAGCCACCCAGGTGCCCCATAACCATGAATTCTTTATTTTTTTTAAATAATTTTTTATAAAGATTCTATTTATTTGAGAGCATACATGACAGCGTGTATGTGTGTGTGAGAGAGAGAGTGCACACATGTGCGCAGGCAGGGGATTGGGGCAGCAGGAAAAGCAGACTTCCCACCAAGCAGGGAGCCCAACTCAGGACTGGATCCCAGGACCCTGGGATCAAGACCTGAGTGGAAGGCAGATGCTCAACTGACTGAGCCGCCCAGGTGCTCCAACTGTGAATTCTTTAATGGTTATAGTACCATTCAGATGATAGTACCATTCTGGTAGTTTGTGATTTTCCAGTAATTAGTCATTTCATCTAACTTGTTAGTCATTTCATCTAACTTGTTCCTTTTAGTCTTTTACATATCTGTAGATTTCAACTCCTTCACTCCTGATACTGGTAATTTCTTTTTCCTTCGTCAGTCTTTTACACACACACACACACACACACACACACACACACACACACACTATCTATCTATCTATATATATATAATATAAAGCCATATATATATGGTTTTGAGAGAGAGAGCATAAGAAGGGGGTGGTCAGAGGGAGAAGCAGGCTCCCCACTGAGCAGGGAACTTGATGTGAGGCTCAATTCCAGGACTCAGGTATCATGACCTGAGATGAGATGAAGGCAGATGCTTAACCCGTTGAGCCACCCAGGTGCCCCTCTTTGTTGGTCTTAATAGAGATTTATCAACTTTAATTATCTCTTCAAAGAAAGAGCTTTTTTGTTTTGTATTTTTTTTTTCTCAGTTTCATCTCTACTCTTTGATTTTCTTCCTTTTTGTTTTGGTTTATTTTGTTTTTCTAATTTTTGAGGTAGAAACTTAGATTATTGCTTTGAGATTTTTTTTTTTAAAGATTTGAGAATGTGTGAGTGAGCTATGGGAGGCACAGAGGGAAAAAAGAGGGAGAGAATCTCAAGCAGACCCCCTGCTGAGTGTGGAGGCCGACACAGGCCCCCTCCCACAACCCTGAGATCACAACCACAGCCAAAACCAAGAGTTGGTCACCCAGGTGTCCCAAGACCTCTCTTTTTAAATATTAGCATTTGATGCTCTAAATTCCTCACTAAGCACTGCTTTGGCTGCAACTTACAAATTTCAACTGATTGTATTTTCATTTTTACTCAGTTCATATACTTTTTAAATTCCCTTTCCCCCTTTGACCCATGGATTGACTATTTTCCAGTTTTCATTTAAATTCCAGTTAGTCAAGGGACACCTGGGTGACTCAGTGGGTTAAAGCCTCTGCCTTTGGCTCAGGTCATGATCCCAGGGTCCTGGGACCGAGCCCCACATCGGGCTCTCTGCTCAGTAGGGAGCCTGCATCCCCTTCTCTCTCTGCCTGCCTCTCTGCCTACTTGTGATCTGTCAGATAAAAAATAAAAAATCTATTAAAAAAATTCCAGTTAGTCAACATATAATGTAATATTAGTTTCAGGAGTAAAGACCCATGGATTATTCAAAAGTATGTTTATTTTTCAAGTGTTTGTATATTTTATTGCTATCTTTTTGATTTCTAGTTTAAATCCCTTATAGAGAGCATACTCCACAATTGTTTTTTCTTCTATGTCTGTCAAACTTTGCTTTATGACCAGGGATTGGTGTATGTTGGTGAATATTTGATTTGTGCCTGAAAAGAATGTGTACCCTGCTCTTGTTGGGTAGAATGTTCTGTAATTGCCAATGGCATCGTCTTATCTGTTTCAGTTCCTCCATACCCCTCCTGACTATTGATCTAGTGGTTCTATGAGTTATGAGAGAAGATAGTTAAATTTTCTGATTATAAACGTGGATGTCTTTTTCCTTTAAACTCCATCAGTTTTTATTTCATGTATTTTTGCAGCTCCGTTACTTGGTACATATACATTTAGTATTACGTCTTCTTCGTTAGTTGGCCCTCTGTTTGTGTAGTGTCTTTCCTTGTCCTTGGCAATTTTCTTTGCTTTGAGGTCTACTTTGTTATTAACTTAGCTACTCCTGCTCTCTCGATTAATGTCTGTATGTGACATTGTTTTCCATTTATTTACTTCCAGTCTACTTATATCATTATAGCTGAAATGAGTTTCTTATAGACAGCATCTAATTGGCTTGTGATTTTTATGTATATGGTGCACAGATCGGTCTTTCCACAGGTGTAATTAACTTATTTCAGCATTTGGGAAATGTTGTGTTATTTCCTTCTGGCTTCTATGGTATCCAATGAGAGATCTGTCTTTCGAAGTGTTGTTCTTCTATAGATAAGTGTCACTTTTCTCGGGCTGATTTCAAGGGACTTTCAGTCTTGTGTGTTTTTGGAAAAGGAACCATTGTGCTCCAGTTACCACTTACAGGTGAGGTGATGTTCATGGTAGCTCTAGGTGATGTTTTTGCAACTGTGCTTGGTTTGCTTTCTGTAGATGTGACAGTGGAGGCTCTAACTATACTTGATACAGAAACTGGAGGAGTAGGTGGAGTTGGTGTGGTGGTGGTGGTCAGTGTACCATCTGTGGGAGCACTACCTTTAGTAGTCATGCTTGAACTGGCATCTAGTGTGCTTGACTGGATGGCTGAGGTTACAAGAAGGAGGATAAGAACAGTGAGGGGAGTAAGGGCTTTCATTTGAGATGTTCTTGCTGGGCCATCCAAGGAGGAAATCTCAAGTTATTGTTATTCTTTAGACCTCACCTAACTTTTTTTGCTCTGTAGGTTTACCAAATTTGAGGAGTTTTTAGCTATTACTTGTCTCTGTGGTGCTTGAAGGCAAGAGGAAGGAGGGCCACCTCTACTCACCTTAGTGCAGGGGAGGAGATGGGCAACAAGGCTCTACCTCAATCTTTGCAGGAGAGGGGTAAAGGCACTAGCCTTGCTTGGGTTAGTGCGAGGCAGGTATGGTCAACAGAACTATACCCACCCACCCCCCAGTTTCTCCTGGAGAAGAGGAGTCAGAGTATCACCTCATTAGTACAGGATGAGAATGGTTGACAGGGCCATGCCCCACAATCTCTACATCACCCCCCTGGGGCGGGAGGCATGGCCTCTTTTAGTACCCACCTCAGAGGCAGGTATTGGCAAAGGGAACAGAATTCTATTTTAAAATATTCTCTCTCAGGGCGCCTGGGTATCTATCAGTTAAGCATCTACATGCACTCAGGTCATGATCTTGGGGCCCTGGGATTGAGCCCTGTATGGGGCTCGCCACTCAGCGGGGAGTCTGTTTCTCCCTCTCCCTCTCCCCTCCCCCTGCTCATACCCTTGCTAGCACTCTCCAATGAATAATAATTAAAAAAAAAAACTTTAAAAATGTTCTCTCATCATTACTAAATAATATCTCTGATTTGCTAGATTAGATAACACTGCCAGAATTCTCAAGATAAAGCAGGTTGGGATCGCAACTCTTGCAATTAATAATCACCATAACTGGGGCGCCTGGGTGGCCCAGTGGCTTAAGCCTCTGCCTTCAGCTCAGGTCATGATCTCAGGGTCCTGGGATGGAGCCCTGCATCGGGCTCTCTGCTCAGCAGGGAGCCTGCTTCCCCCTCTCTGCCTGCCTCTCTGCCTACTTGTGATTCTGTCAAATAAATAAATAAAATCTTAAAAAAAAATCACCATAACTGTGTCAGATCTGTGCGGTCAAAACCAAATCTAAGAATAACTTCAGCGATCAAAGGACCAATTGATTTGGGAAGAATATCCGTATCTGTGTCAGGTTCACATTTAGTAGTATCAACAATGGCTATACCTACTTTCCCACTTGTCCACTGATGATCTGGTCTTTTCCTGTTGGCAGCTATGTCTCCAAAGCAATATGCGATAACATGAGCATCGTATGTGTGGTGTCGAGACTTCGTGAATCCAGCATTCTGGTGATGTATTCTTTGCGTATATAATGTGGAAACTAATGGAATTAACCTTACATCATCTCTCTCAATGTAGTAAAGAGAATTCTGTTTGTAAACCGAGAATGACTGTTTAGTGATCTTAGGAAAGAAGCGATGATTTAACCACCTATAGTAAATCAGACACTGTAATAGATGCACTACACAGAAGGCAGAGCAACCTATCCTCTGTCCTTGCTAGCAGGGAGAGTATAGAATACTAGGGGAGTAAAATATAACTGGTCACAAATCAATTCAAAAGGAGCTTATATGGGGGAGGGCGGGGAAGTATGACTTCAGATTGAGGCAGGTTTAAAAGTGAAGGCATCTGGGGCGCCTGACTCAGTCGGTAGAGCATGCAACTCCTGATCTCAGGGTTGTGAGTTCAAGCCCCATGATGGGCGTGGAGTCTTCTTTAAAAAAAAAAAAATAGTAAAAGTGAAGGTCATCTGTATTAGTCCATGTTCTCTAAAATGCAAGCAAATCATAAATGTATTAGAAAAACATAGACGTCGATACTCAACGGTAGCTAGAAGCGATTCAGAATATGGATGGTAATAACAAATGTCCAAGAGGACTAGGAAATAGGACACACAGCAAAAGCTAAATCACAAGGAAGTTTCAATTCATGTTTCATTACAGCCATTGTAATGGACATGAAAAAACTACCCCCTAGGTTGCGTCACTGGTTCAGGATTCAGAGTTCAGGGAGAGAGTACTAATACATCAAGCCTAAGACCCACAGGTCTGCTGTCCTGGCTCTGAGAGGAGGGGAGGACCGGAAGAAAGAGGACGTGAGTGGGGACATACTATTCTCATAAGAATGAAATCTCAGGAGGAGATTTCTCCAAGGAGCAGTGTGGGTTTCTGGGCTATTAAAATGCCCACCATTCCCTCTTCCTCAAAATAAACTTGAAGCTGTGACCAGGAAGATAAAGGACAGGAAGTCAGTGGAGGGTCTCTGGAGATGGACAAGGTTGGAGAAGCTGGCAGGAGATGTGCTGTACACAGCACCTGGCAGTTCTGGGACAGTCACATGTCTGGTTTAGATGCGAATCAAAGTCCACGAGGAGAGTATGTACTAACACAGGCTGGGAAGTCAAGGTGTCAAGTCACACAGACAGCTGCAGAGTCTGACCCAAATACTTTGGTTTTTACCACAGGAGAAAAAGACTTACATTTTATAGATCTGTGTTTTTTTAAAGGTCCTTCTCATTGTCATTTAGAAAAGTGATTTAAGAAGCAGCCCTAGCCTATGCCTGCAATGAGGACCCTGTCCTGTACCAATTTTACCTCCACCAAAAAAAATGTAGCCATTGCGACTAAGGAAAGGAAAGCCGGTGAGGCTGTCTTCTTGATTAGAATCTCTGCCATAAAAGGAGTATGTGGCGGAAGACATGGAGGCAAGGATCTGTGGGTTATGCGCGCATGAGCACAAAGAACACAATCTGTCCGAGGAAACAGGAGTAAACAGGATCCCACAGCGCCTGCAATTTTTGAACAACTTAGAATAAAACTGAATTGCTGTTGGGCTCTCATTTCTGGGATAAGCAGAGAAAACTTTCTACACACAGCATCAAACATTGTTCAAAACTGCAAAGGCAAAGGCAAAAGAAAACCTTAAAATCTATGGCAAAGGGAGTTGAATTGAAGAGAAACCTTCTTAGCTGGGGAATAAAAGAGGGCAAGTCCAGAAACACTGCATGCCTTATTCACAGAATTTTAAAGGACTCCATGATGGAGCACAGGACCCCTGCCAACGTCGAGGTCAGGTCACAGATCTGTAAGGTGCGGGACCCTCAGAAAAGTAACAGTCCTTTCCTTGTAGGTAAACTGAAGGGAAGTCTACCCCTTGGAGAAGGATGATGGGGAGAGCTGCCTCTCTCAGCTTCAGGTATGGGTGGAATAAAACAAAGAAACCATTCCCTCCAGAGAATTCTTAACTGTAACCACACTCCCCTTGGAGGTGGAGCTGACATCAGTCAAGGTCCCAAGACTAGACAGAGGTCACACCCATTAAGGTAATTTGACCAAGGTTTATTGTGGTGAAAAGAATTCAAGAACCCATAGAAATAATAGACCTGATGGCATTTTAGCCCCTCCTTTTTGTAAGCATCCCCACAGGGGGCTGGCGTCCACTTTTAACCTACGCTCAGGATTCCAGGCCAGGTTTTGTTTGTCTCAACCTGCTGGGAAGAGTTAATCTTCCCCTACCTGTACCAGGAGGGTGCCGGCCTATGGGCCTAGCGTAGCTGACTTAGTTACAGAAGGGGTACGGACTCCTCCCGCACCCCCCACGTCTTCTTTGGGTGCCCTGGGCTGGCCAGTGCTGAAAGCCACTGCTACTGAGTGGGGCTTACTGTAGCTACAGGGAATGAAACAGGGCTATTCCTCTTATTAGAACTTCCCTTCCAGATATCATTGCTTGAATGGATTAACCCAAGGGGTTTATAGGTTTGACTAACACATTCTATTGAGTAAAGACTTCACCAGAGAGCAAGGCAGCCTCTCTAGGCCCCCTGTACTTCGCTCTGCTGCGGCCACTGGAGCCAATGGACCTGCTCCTGACATCCAGGAGATGGAACTGTGGAAAAGGAAACCACAGGCCCCACATGGTGTCTCTTAGGTTAAGGTATTAGGTCTTGGTTGGCAAACTTGGGGACTTAACCTAGCTGCAGTTTCAGCCCCCCAGAAATGTCACCTTTACCCAGTCTACGTGGGACTTTCCTGATCAGCTCCAGGAGAGTTACTGCTGTCCCCTGGAAGAGCACAACCTTGCCTAAAACAGTGGATTCTTTGCTAATAATCTCCTTTTTCCCCACTCTCTATCTAACTTTAAAAACTCTTCCTTTTCTGGAGCCCTCTGGAGCTTTCCTTTACTCACTAGATGGAAACCCTGCCCAATTCACAAATGGATTAATAAAGCCGCTTGGACCTTTTAAAATTTACATGGTTGCCTTTTTGTTATTTAACAGAATTCATTGCCGTGAATTGGGGTAGCACCATATGGGTGGTTCCCAAGAGCCCAAGAGATGCCCTGCAGATTACCTTCAACTTTAACCCCTTCTCTGTGGCCGTGTCTTTCCCTTTGACCTTTACCGGTCCCTTTGACCTTTACCAGTGCAATCACACCGTCAGTGGCTCTAGCACTTGTCAGTACGTCCTCTTGCCTGGGGCTGAATTACATTCAGCAAGTTTCACAGTAAGGGACACACACCACATAATGGTCTGCGGACTCAACAGAGAGATCAGATCAGTTCTCCTGGTTCTCTACTACTAAAGGGGCAGACTGGTGAGGAATAAAGGTTTTTTGAAATCCTAGTCTGTGACTTTACAGGTTTCTGGATCCTGAGGATGCTTTATCACGGGCTCCAAAAACAGGCCTGTTACCTCAAAAGCCAAGTGGCACCAAATTCAGATTTTATTTTGGAAATGGCCTAAACAAGCAGAGTTTTAGCTATTTAGAGCCTTGTCTGCTTTTCATACCCCCCACTGAAACCTTACCCACTGCTAAGCCAGAGCCCTAGGACTGTAAGCCCCGGGCTGCTGCAGTCATGGGGGACTATTTGACCCAGAGGCCCCCACCCCCCACACACACCTAGGCACAGAAGTCCCCTGCTCCCATCTCCCCCTCCTCTCTCCCTGAGTACCCTTGCTATCCTGCACCACAAGCTTCCAGACAGTCTCCCAGGATGAGGAACTTCCCCTCCATGCACTGCTTAGTAAAGTTTGTGTGTGTTACTACCTCTTGTTCTTCTTCCTTGATGAGCCCTTCAAATCCTTTGAGCCCTTATAGTCCTACATCCCAAATATATAAAGAACTCTTAAAACTCAACAAGAAAACAACCCAAATAAAAATGGGCAAAAGACTTGAACAGCTACCCCTCCAAAGAGGATACCCAAGAGGCAACAAGTTCATGAAAAGGCCTCAACGTTGCTAGCCATTAAAGAAATCTAAATTAGAACCGCAACGAAAGGATAGTGTACACCTATTAGATTGGAGGGGGCTAAGGGGGAGATGGACAGTGCCAAGAGCTAGAGGATGTGGAGCAACCGGAACTCCCCGACACCGTTGGCCCAGATGCAACATGCTCCAGCCATTTTTGTAAAGAGCTGGGCAATTTCTTATGCAATAAAACATACACTTAGCATATCACCCAGCAATCCCACTTCTAAGTACCCAAGAGAATTGAAAACTTCTGATCACCCAAAAGCCTATATATAAATGCTTATAGCCACTGTATTCACAGTCACGAAAAATCTGCAACAACCCAATCTCTTTCAACTGGTGAGAAGTACTCAGCGGCATCCGTACAATGAGCTACTACCCAGTAATAAATGCAAACCAACTTCTGGTGTGCACAAATCTCTTGGACGTCAGCGTTAGCAACATTTTCTAGATCTGTCTCCTCAGGCCAGGGAAACAAAAGCAAAAATAAACAATTGAGGCTACATCAAACTAAAAAGCTTTTACACAGCGAAGAAGGCCAACAAAATAAAAAGGCAACCTACTGAATGAGAGAAGATACTTGCAAATGATACATCCGATGAGGGGTTAATAGAATATTAAAATTCATAAGATATCCAAATAGCATCCGAAACAAAACAATTTCTACAACACCAAAAAACGATCCAATTAAAAAAACGGGCAGAGGGCCTGAATAGACATTTTTCCAAAGACGACACCCAGATGGCCAACAGACATATGAAAAGATGCTCAACATTATTACTCATCAAGGAAATGCAAATCAGAAACACAGTAAGACATCCCCTCACACACGTCCAAATGGCTAGAATCAAAAAGACAAGAAACAACCAGTGTCAGGATGTGAAGGAAAGGGAACCCCTGGGAACTGTTGATGGGAAGGTAATATGGAAGACAGTCCGAAGCTTCCTCAAAAAATTGGAAATAGAGGGGCGCCTGGGTAGCTCAGTGGGTTAAAGCCTCTGCCTTCGGCTCAGGTCATGGTCCCAGGGTCCTGGGATCGAGCCCCATATTGGGCTCTCTGCTT